CCCCCCCTGCACTGGACAAGTTTTGCTTCTCATTTTGTTAATTGCAGAGAATTAAAAGTGGGCAGCAAAAGTGTAGCAGAATAAACGTGAGCCTTTGAGGTTGATAGCCAAAATTATAAAGCCCCTATTTACGTTGTGTGTGTAATTGGTCAGCTTGTCTACAAGGCACTGTACTCCTGAGAAGAGAAAACGGAAGAGCCTAGCAAGGAAGCATAGTTTGAAATTTTTGAGGGAAGCATTACACCTCAGAGATTCTTAAGTCTGTCGCAGCCGCGCTTCTCACTTGTGGCCTGAGGAGATGATCGCGAGTGTGAGTTCCCGGCCTGTGCTCTCCTGCGTCAGTCCTCAGAAGACTGTTCTGAACTTTTACAGACCGTGGAGACGGGATACGTGTTATGTAACAGCAGGAATTAAAACAGAATAATGAAACAGTTTGGGGGGGGGGTCCTTTCACATCGAAGGATCTGTTCCTAAGAATAGACACATTTCTCGTAAAGAATCCCTATGTGTTTTATTAGCGAGAAGAGGGAAAAAAAATCCATATATTTTGAAGATTTGTATTGTAGCTGTTCTTTTGTTAGAGGCTTGCTTTTCTTAAAAGGCTGTGGGACCTATTTTCCTTCTGTAGAACCGAGCAGTATAGAACTTGCTCCGGCATATTTGAACAGTGATAAAAAACCCTGAAAATCTTCAGTATAAATAGCAAGTGTGAGGCTGGCTGTGAACTGATTATACATTCCCTCTTGTAAACTGAAACAGCTTTATTTTCCAGCCCCTACTCTGTTCCCTCCTCCTGACCGCGCTCCGGACGACCAGCCCAGCGTTAAAGCACCACCGCCAGCTTGAAGCCACAGCCGGCACACGTTTGACATTAGCCGAGGAGACCTTTCCCAGAACACTCCGTGTTCTCTCCCGCGTGCGGACGCCGCACGTATCCGCCGGGCCCCGGCAAGAGGAGCCTTGACCAAATGTGCCTGCTGCCCAGGCGGGGAAGGCCCTGGTCGCCAGCCCGGCTGGTCAGCAGGTCCGTCCCTTGCTGTGGCCCTCGCTCCTGCCTCACGCCCGGCCTGTTCACAACCCGAGGTCTCTCCGTCCTTGACCAGGCAGGTTGCAAAAGATAAATCACCTTGGCAATAATGGTAACGATTCTCATGCTGGTTTCCGTCCCCGCCCGTAAGCAAGCAAGCAAGCATTTCTAATCGCTTTGGAAACGGACCGCGCACTCTCGCGCCCTCCTCTTCTTACACGGGCTCGTGGGCACGGGCGCACCTTGGGACAAACATTCTCAGCCATGTTAAAGGATGGATGTCATAACTTTTATTTTTAAAATACAAAGGCCAGTTTCAAATATAAATTTAATTAAAGCACGGCTGCATGCATGTGAATCTGACATAGAATTGCCCTAAAACAGTGGCAGGCTGAGAGGGCCTTAGAAGTTCTATAAATTGTGAGCTGCGTTCAGATTTTTCCATTTTTTAAAAAATCGCGTGCTGCCGGCTCAGAACGTACACACTTAATCACCGGAATGAGGAGAGCTGTCAAAGCGAGTTACACAACTTCCTCCGCGTCCCCTCTCCCGCGAACGCATCAAGAGTTGGTGGCCTCGCTCTGCACGTCGCCTGGAAGTCCCACTGCTTCTAAGAGCGTGGCTCAGGGGAGCTGTGTCTCCGGCAGAGTCCGTTGAGGCGCTTGTTGCTGCTGTTTAAGAACATTCTTAAGACGTGTGGCCCGAACAGCAAGTCCATAGTGAAGTATCTGGGTCTTCATCTGTGGGCGTCCCGGTCCAGACCGTCTCCGGGAGCCTGCGTTCCCCTGTAGTTTGGAGGGGGTGCTGATCACACTCAGAGTTTGGTGGTGAAGACTGATCACATTGTATTTGTACAAACCCCAAGTTAAAAAATATAGGTGGGGATTCTAAATTATTTGCCCCAAATAAGAAATCCAAATTATGTTGAATTTTTTCCTTCGCTAATTGTAGTGTTTAAAGTAGGTTTTAGTTAAAAGGCAGATTCATTATGAAACTTAGCTTCTAAGATCCAACAATGGTCTATCTTGTCAGGTTCATTAACATAATGAACTGTTCGCAGGTCCAAATGGCCAGAATTGGCGTTTTTACACCATTTCCTCCCCTGGTTTGCTCTCCTTCCTCAATTTTAAAGGAGTATGTGGAAGGTTATTCTCCTTTGACAGGAATATCTTCACTGTGTTTAGGCACTTATCATTTATAATTACTTTAAAAACAGTGGCTTATTCTTCGATAGAAAGTGCTGGAATACTCCACACAGGTTGTGCAGCTGAGAAACACTTGCGGGCTTTGCACGCCTGCTGGGAAGAAGGAAGTTCCCGGGGCCACACTTCCTACCTTCTATGAATTTGAACACAAACCCCCGAAGTCCCAGCACATGAAAAACCCACAGAAACATTAAAACGTTATCTTTAGTAAACAGAGATGTGTTTGGGTCCCTGAAGCTTGGTGTGAAAACAAAAACAGTATTTCTGT